GCGACATCAATCTTCGTGTCAATTGTTGAACGTGAGGTGCATCCATTCACCAAAATAAAGCAAATATATTTTAAGTAAAAACTTAATTTTGTTAAAGTTGGCATGAAATGAAAATGAACCTTATTTTCTAAATGTATATTATACATCTTATTGTGATCGATTCAACCATGCCTGTTTTCTTGAGGTTGTAATTTTTATGCAATATATCATAACTGGATCTTCTCTCTGGTGACATATGCAGGACTTCTCCAATCAAATCATTTAGTCCACGTAAACCCCGCCCCACATTTTATAATCCAATCAACAACTGAAGGATTGAACCAAGTCCCCGCCCTACATTTTTTCTTTTTCAATAATCTGTTACTCTCAGATGTACGTCACAATATGGAAAGATCTGTTGCTACTTTTGTTTCAATGTGACTTTAAAGGCACAGTTCGTGGAAAAATTTAAATTCTGGTATCATTTACTCAAAAAAAAAAAAAACTTTGATGTACTTTATTCTGTGGTACGCAAAGGGAGAAATTTAGAAGAATGTTCATGCTGCTCTTTTCCGTTCTATGAAATTGGATGGTGACTATGGTTTGTGAAGTACCAAAACGGAAAAAAGGCACAATAAAATTTGTCATGTGCTGTATTTGAATTTTTTAAATTTAGGTTTGACATTTTTATGCAGAACAGTCAAATTTATTCAAGATTATCTTCTTGATTGTTGCATTTTATTCTTAAATCTCATTCACAAATACATATTACATTTAAATACGTCACATCACAATGTGTTTAGCATCAAGTGATGATGAATGAGAATGAGAGAATTAGAGTTTTATTTTATTGGTTATACTGTGACTTGACCACAATATGCCACATTTTAATATGTGCATATTCAAATTGCACAAATAAGATTTCAGACAATGGAGAGAAAGGTTTTCTGTGAATAATGACTTTAATTTCGTTCTGTTCCTTGCTAAGTCTATTATTTGACTTGACAAGAATATGAAGATGTATTATGGTATTTTAGGGATTTTTCTTTGGATTTTTGTCACTTTTGTAGTTTGGCAGCCCCTGGTTACCATTCACATTAATTATATGGATGCATAGTGAATATCCTGCTTAAAGGAATCATTCGCCCCAAAATTTGAATTAGCTGAAAATGTACTCATCCTCAGGCCATTCAAGATGTAGATGAGTTTGTTTCTTCATCAGAACAGATTTGGAGAAATGTAGCATTACATCACTTGCTCACCAATGGACCCTCTGCAGTGAATGGGTGCCGTCAGAATAATTGTTCAAACAACTGATAAAAACATCTCAATAATCCACAAGTAACCCACAAGACTCCAGTCCTTCAATCTTGTGAAGTAAAAAGCTGCATGTTTGTAAGAAATAAATCCATCATTAAGGTGTTTCACATCTTGGATGGTCGGAGGGTGAGTAAGTTTTCAGCAAATTTTTATTTCTGAGTGAACTATTCTTTTGAAATCTTGTGTGTGTGTGTGTGTGTGTGTGTGTGTGTGTGTGTGTGTGCGTGCGCGTTTTTGTGACAAATGAGGACATAAATTTGTATAATGACAAGGGTATGACATAGGTATTACAAGGAGAAGATGACTTTTCAGGACATTACCCCATGTCCCCACTTTTCAAAACGCATATAAATCACACAGAATGGAGTGTATTGAAAATCTGAAATAGCACAAAGTTTCCTGTGAGGGGTAGGTTTAGGGGTAGGGTTGGTGTAGGGCAATAGAATATACAGTTTGTACAGTATAAAAACCATTACGCCTATGGGATGTCCCCACTTTTCACAAAAACAAACCTGTGTGTGTGTGTGTGTGTGTGTGTGTGTGAAAGAAAATTGAGTTTGGAAAACATTAGGGTTCAGCCTTATTTTTGTGTGAACTATTTCCCTTTAATGAAACTCTTGGATGGGACCAGATGTTTTGATGCAGGATGGCATAATAACCCACAGATTCATAGTGGCTCAAGATGACAAATCTAATGGCTCACTTGAAACTGGAAAAAAAAGCACTTGCTTTACCCAAATTGGCGGCCAAATCTTGCGCTGCCTTTCAGAGACAGTTGAATGCACAGATTTTCACAGATGCCTAGGGGGAGGAGGTCATTAAGCATGCATGGTTGTGATGCTGTGTCAGAGGAAGAGCTTGCTGGATTTATACCCCAATGTACAATGAGCTTTATCACCACCCCCAAGCCTTTCTCCCAGTGAGGCATGGGGAATGAGGTTAGATACATGTTGAGGCACGTGGACGGCCAGACATCCCTGCTACGCTACTCCCAGATGCTCCACATAGCCGGAATGCTGTTCTCCTTCCACAACATCTGCCGGTTGCACATCTTCCCAAAAGACTCCACAGGAATGAATGTCCCCACATCACAGACTGAGTCTCTTGTTTTGACCTCTCTATGGATTGCAGATGTCATTCAGATGAAGAATTTATTTTCCTTCAGTAGGATTTTTAAAGGGTTTGGCGTCACCAATGTTAAAAAGACACCAAAGTTATTTACCAAGATTTAAAACGGGCATTTAAAAGAACGAAATTAAAGTACACCGTGCACCAAATAAAACATGAACATGTAAAAATAAATATGGCGAATTTAGCAGTGATTACGTACGTTCATTAAACACTGACTCATATGTGTTACGTGACATCGTTTGATCTATTAGATCATTTCAACGGTCCTTCTTTAAAGAGAAGTCTATGCGGTATTCCATGAATCACTGCACTTATATTACGCTTGGGTGGGAGCTGTAAAATCTCCAAGAACTGTGTGGTATCTTGTTCACTATATAACGGTGGGATTTATTAGAGAGGGTGGAGCACAAAAACCCTGAAATGAGAAAATGTGCACTGGCTGGAGAAAAAAGTGCAAATAGACAGGTGTCTAGTGCCACCCAGAGGACACCCATTCTTTGATGGACTAAATTAAGTACCTCATGTATTATCTTGTTTTGGGCTGTTGGGAGCAGTCTTATTGTAGTAGTATTTGTACATTTATATTATATATTATTTTATAGTATTTAATATTATTTTGAATTTTATAATTTCAGTTTTTAACCTAAATTTATATTAAGTTTTAACATTTTGTTGTGTGTATTGGTCATATTTTGATTGATTTATATGTATTTCCATTTTATTTTGTAGACCTACTTTAACTTAAACTTCTTCTATTCCAGTTAGTTACTAATATAATACTTTTAATTTCCATTAATGAGTTTGTAAAGAGTTTTTTTTATATTTATTTTTTTTTCTTTTTCAGCTTCATTTTAATTAATGAAAACTATTTGTAATAGATTCAGTTTTGGTTAACAATAACAACATTTGTTGTGAGGAGCATGAGAAAAGTTATTTTTTTAAAGCAAAATTTTAAAATGATAAAAAATGCTTTCAATTTTTTTTTTATTATTACATTTAAATTATTTAATAATTATTTTTAAATTATATATATTTAATTAATTGTCTTAAATGATTGCATTGTTTTGAAAAAAAAAAGATTTATTTACTTTTAATTAATTAAGTAATTTATTTATTACCTATCTATAAGTGCCTGAATGCTTTAGTAATGTTGAAATTTTGTAAAGCCCAGACAATTTCTGAAACTGTAAAGGAAAAATTTATCTAGATAATAACATTAAAAAAATAAATTATTAAATGAGCCTTCAATAAGACTAAATGTGATTGTGTTGTGGCATTATAAAATATCTCAGTTAGGCTCAATCCCTGCATGGACTCATCCATGAGCTTGCAGTCAGTCTCTCTGTTTCCTCTCTGTCCATATCAGGTAAGACACTTTTATCAAAACCATAGGCTTAGCAGATGTTGCATTTTCCACTGGTTAGATGTTCCATCACAGGCGTCTACCATGAAGAAATTATCTCTTTTTAATCACTCTCTTCATGGTTGGTGCTCCAAGTGCAAATGCATAAAAGGATACAATATATATAAAATGGTACATTCAGAGATGTATTATCTGAGCTGTCTCTCCGAATTGTTTGGAACAAAAGTTCATGACTCTTTCCTGCTGTTAGTGAGGTGGATTTTCCAAGCTTCAGATAATTCCACACTGTCTAGAGATGTGGTTATCTGTTCCTTGGACTGTGACCTCCAATAAACTTCCTCCAGGATAAAAGACATGTGGATTTAAGACAGCAAGAAGGCATAAAAAGGCCCACAAAAAGAAACTCCACACTTATTAGTGCTACTGATTTTACAAATGCTAATTTTCTTAGAATGAGAATTTTTTCACCCATTAAGTTTGTACTTTATCTATGATATAACGACCAAGAAAATGAGAACCAACTCCGCTCGTGCAATAACCTTTATTGACCACTAGATGGACCCATATGTCACTTTAAGATAAGAGACAAAAGAACTCATACCTGAACATGAACAAAGGAAGAAACAGAGAGGGGAAAACCAATAGCTAACCCTAATTATTACACAGCTACTCTTTGTATTAATTAATACATTTCAATTTATTACATTTCAGTTTAGTGTACTTTAATAATTTTAAATTTTAAAATGTAAATAAAGCAAAACAGCAACAGGGGAATCCTAGCCACCTAAACTTCCTTCAGAACTGTCCATGACCAATAATAATAATAATAATAATAATAATTACATATTTTGCATTATTATTATTTAAGTAGTTTTTTTGTTATTATTCATTCGTAATGTTATCATATTAGAAGAAAAATGTACAGTATAAAGTAATAAGCCTGCACAAGACCTGAATTTTAAAACTTCATTATTTAGTAGCAACAGCTATTTAGCCAAAAGCAATTCATCATAAAGCTAGTCAACTAATACTAATTAATTAGGCCTACTTTGAGTCATAATTATAGAGCCAAGATGGCTGCGTGGCCGGATCAGTTTCCACCGACTGAGGGGGAAAACAAATGGTCAGCCGTAAGCTGAGCCGCGCATGCGCAGGAGCCCAGTGCCGCGTAGGGCTTTCAGTTTTTTTGGACTCCTGTCGAGGTGGATGACGTCATGCAGCAGTCCAGTAGAGGCTCCACTTTCCCCCCCTCACTCAAATTGTAACCACCAGCATCAGAAGCGGTGGGACACAGAAGAGAGGAGCCTTTTTTATTTTTATTTTAGCAGCGAGGCACGCCAACGGACGATCTTGCATTTGTATCATCCTGATTTTGCAAAAGGAATAATTTTATCACAGAGAAGACCGCTTTGATTTTAAGGATTCTTTAAAAAAAAAAAAAAAAGACACCACATACCTCTTGTTTGCATGCTGTTATTTCAGTAAGCAACATAACGTTACATCACCGTGCCATTGTACAACACTTCGCCTTTTTAGGCTGGAAAAGCCTTATTATGCATAGATTTTAATGATACATTCTCTGCTGTGCATATTGTCTGCTCAGCTACGTTTGCTAGCGTGTCGGAGGGCGCAAGAAACAACAGACCACGGCGGACAATCGTGAGGTTTGGATGAGGTGTTTGAATCCAGCCTTACGTGAACAATTGTGATATTTCCATAGGCAATGCCATCTTGCAATGCAAACATGCTGGCTGTTGGATTGCTTTACCTGGGATTAGTTTTTGCAATAGAGATTGTAGATCCCACCAGAGCCATTGAAGGTGAGTAACCACGATTAAACGTGTTATTTTGTCCATGCATGCATTTAGGAGACAGTCTGTAAAGTTTTCAGACATGGCCTGGTGATAGTGACCAGGCAACGTGTGGGCTGCTGCTTTCGACACCCACTATGTGGGCAGCAGAGTGATCATTTCAGGCTTGCAGGATTGATTTTGAATAAGTAAATATGCCGAGGAGGGCATTTGCGCAATTTTGCTATCGCCTGTGCCGTGATTGCTACATCTGTCCTTGTTATCCACATCCAGACTCGCGCTAATTCATTATGAAACATTCGCATTATCAGCATTTGTGCACAGAAGCCACAAATCGGCCGGTTTTTAACGCGTTTAACGTGTCTTATGGGGACAGATTGGAGATGTGGGAGTTGAGTCATTTCGTAATAGCTTCATAGGCCCGTGCATTCGACGGAGTCGTTTATAAATTCAAACGCCTGTCATATGGTATTCTTCTGCTTGCATGAATTGTTACCGTATGAGTGCAAGCCGAGCTCGCCTCAGGTCTATTTGCATGCAGTGGACATGCTTCATATTCCCGCATTCTTAGCGGTCTATTCAAGTGCATGGATAGGCACATCCTCTGCTTCTTGGTCGCCCACAAAAGAGTCCTGTCGATTCTTTAGCGTTTGTTTTGCGTGACGTAAACATTATTATCTAAGGCATATATTGAGTGTAATTGATCTTATTTGCTCCAAAATCAGGTATCTAAAGCCAGTTGATCAGTACTTGGCCCAAGTTTGCTCAGTTAGTTTGGGTAGAAGCGATTTGAATCAGAGTGTGCACACTAGATGCTTATCATTTAGTTTTACTTCAAGCGTCAGATTTTTACATTGTAAATCAAGTGGCACAAAATTAAACAAAAATATTCTTAATGTCATAGGCTTGACATGTTATTTTTTATTAGAAAATTATGAATGGTAAAAATGTGTTTATGCTGCAATTTAATGTAGTCTGCTTTTTATTTTATAGCCTAATATTTCTATTTTTATTGTATGTTTATAGAATTTTCATGTTTTTTGATGATTAGAGTATACCACAAAACAAGTGTTTGTTGGCAGATGGAAATTTAAAATGTTTTGTACTATAAAACTTGATTGGACACAGACATCAGCTACTAAACTGATATGGGGAGCCTTTTTCCTCCCTTTAAAAAAAGTTGATTGATTGATGAAGCCTGTTCATTGTGCACATTTATATCGTTAGTTGCAGTTTAATATTTGCATTTAGCATTATCTTTTCCCTTCTGTCCATGATCAGAATAGACCCGTGGCCCGTTTTAGGGTTGTGACCCATTGTCACTGTCTGACACGTCTGATTGTTTTTAGGTATTTAAGATGCATTCATATGCTAAATATTTTTAAAACACCAAAGAGCTTGACCTAGTTATTCCTTTTATAGCATTTGTTTTAAAATTTGTGATGTTAACAATAACTATCCAAAGAAATGAGAGGAAAATGGTGCCTACAAAGCACACCGGATGCCTTTTGAATAAATACTCCAGATAGTTTTCTGTGACATCTGTATGAATTATGCAACAGTCCTTTTTAGTATGGCTCAGAAAACTGGCCTACAAATAGCCCACATTTTAAATTATGCAGATCCAAATGTAATGCTCATGCCCAAGAAATAAGTGCATAATGTAGGCCTGATCAAGAGAAGTTAAAAGACTGTGATTAACTTTTAGTCATTCACTAGACAGTGCATTACACGTTAACTGTAAAGAATAACCTGCTGTTTTGTCTAAAAAAAGTATAATTTAGCCAAAAATGTAATTTTTGTTATCATTTATTCACCCTCATGTCATTCCGAACCTTTCTTCTATGGTTTATCCATATAATATCCATACAATGAAAGTCAGTGGAGTTCGGTGTTTTTTTTGGACCCCATTGGCTTCAACAAAACGTTCAAGTCATGTTTAAGGTTGACTGTCCCTTTAAATTCTTACAATTTTCAGTAATCATCAGTTCTTTCAGGAAACTTAAGTAATTTATATGACTGTTGATGCAATAACTAAATATGAGTAGTTGTGTCCGAAGTCATGTGATTGAGTCATTGACCATGTGACGCCACCTCAGACGGCCTGTCAGATGATTTTGACTGTCGCAGAGGAGTCTTTTCTGCCGAGCTCTGATAATAGGTTTAGTTGAAACCACAAAAAAAGAACCTCAGCAGACCTCAGATGATCTTTTATCTTGTCTAGACAGGATTCGGAGCCTGGGGGATGTGGGTATTTTTTATTATACTGGAAAGTAAAGATAACGGTCATAAACAAATATTCTATATTCGAACAAACCTCATCTCACTCAGTATACTTCTAAAATAATGAGACAAGATTTCCTTGGCGTGGTATGAGAGTAACGTAGGTTTTATGATATATAAATGACCTGGGAGTTTGTCTGCTCTGTGGAAGACGAGGAGGAAATGGTCTAGCGGACGGAGGCAGGGTTGAAGTTCTTGTGCTCTATTATCTTGCTCCACCTCCACCCTCTCTGGGACATCTGGATATAGGAGACCCATTAGCTTAGACGTTATATGGGGATGAATGGGAAAGCAGACCATTAGTGACCGGCTTTGGCTTACAGGATTGGGCGTATGTGTGTGCAGAGGCATTGCTTCACTGTTGGATCACATTCTGGCATGTGATGCCTAAGCACTGATTTAATGTACATGTTAGCATTTGGCTGCATGGAATGCAGAGTGACCCTTGCAGTGGTTAAGGCGTAGGTGGTGAGTGGGCCCGAGCTGGAATCGGACTGCTGTCAATGACTACAGCAGGAACTCGTGGCTCTGCGTGGATCACTGTTGGAGCAGGAGAACTGATTTCTTATTTATCCGAGTAGAACGTTTTTTCAGTTTAGACCATGTCTGTAAATAGGGTAAATGTACCCATTAAGCACACTTCCATATTTGAGCTCAGGTTATAAAAAGAAAAAATAATGTATTATCATACTTGATGTCTTAACCAGTTGATGTGTTTGTTACTACAGACCTCCTGTAATTTCAAGTCAATAAGACCATTGCACACTGAGAGATGTGTCCAGTGTTGCCAGATTGGGGGGTTTTGAATTTGATTGTGCGGGTAAAAATTGGCTTGGGCGGGTGGACAAAATTTGGGCTGGTTTGTGGTTAGTTTGGCGGTTTTCAAACATAAATTGCATAGGCTAATTGGTTAACAAACAAGCCCAAGTGTGCATGTACTGCATCCAATCAGTCATCACAACGTTACTAAACACTAGGCATGGGACTAGTAATTTGATTGTGCAGGTAAAAATTGGCTTGGGTGGATGGACAAAATTTGGGCTGGTTTGGGGTCAGTTTGGCGGTTTTCAAACATATAAATTGTATAGGCTAATTGGTTAACAAACAAGCCCAAGTGTGCATGTACTGCATCCAATCAGTCATCACGGACGGTACTATAGTAAACACACGTACACTGCAAAGACGACTGGTGCTGATGTTGACGTCGCGGCCACACTTATAGCCAATCACGAGGCATCAGCAGAGCAGACGTGATGATTCATGAGTCGAGTGACAGGTTTTTAGCATGATAACGGATCTGATTTTGAATGTTGTATGACTGTATATTCAAGTAATCACACTGCCTAAATATAAGTTAAAGAGTGGGAGAGTGACTCAACTCTCAAAACGTGAATTATTGTGGAGTGAGATGACACAAAGACTCTATCACTGCAACTCTGAAATCAGAGCACATTTGAATGAACGTTAATTAATCAAAATCGAAACTAAATATCTCGGTTTATACGATCCTGTCTTTGTTCCTGTCAAATCCTTGAAAACTGCTAGACTTGATTAGTTCTGACTGTGCAAAGTTCTGTATTAGGCCTATGTTCTACAATATGAACTTCATAAGAGGCTTCCTCTAGTTCTGCATAAAATTATAGAGCGACAAGAAGGTAAGCGCATTATTGTTGTTGTTAATTTTCTTTTTTAATTGTCAGATTATAGTTCCGTATGTATCAATGAATGACACAGTTTTGACTGTTATGGTGTTTGCATGAACGAGTGTGAAATATCTGCTAATTACGTTACGCTTTTTCCTATCACTTGTATTGGTCACTTTTTGCATTTAAATTGGATTATTCTGACTGCTGACATTGAAAATGATGCATGTGTTGTTTCGAGGGTATCAGTTAATTTCTTGTTTGCCATTTTAACAGTGTCTGCTTGCATATTTTATTCATGTTCGGTAATTCTCTTTAATGTAGCCTATTTTCCCCAATTTGATCCGTTTACCTGGGAAATTTATCTTACGTTATATTTATATTATTTTATCGTCATTATTTTGTTTTAAGGAGTTAAAAATGGCCCTTATCAACTTTGATTTACATATTCTATCACATTATTTTGACTGTTAAAGTTTTGGGTGGCTTTTTGTTGGAGTGGGTGGGTTTTTGTGAGCTTTTGGGCTGGAAATCGTCCATCCAATCTGGCAACACTGGATGTGTCTCCATGTGTTCACACTGTCCGGCGGCCATTTTGAAAGCTGTCTGGTTGCCGCTCCCATTAAGCTCAGTGTGCTCTCTTTAAGCTCTTCCACATTGAACGTCTATGTAAATACTTCGTTAACAGACTACATAAACTGATGGTTGTGACTTTAAGTTAAGTTAATCGATTTTCTTTGAATTCTGTCAACTCAAATCTACAGACTGGCTCTGACCTTTGGCAACTAGCATCAACTTCTCCAGACTGTAAATCAGTGGAAAATCGGGGCAAAAATCGTGTAGTGTATTCCAGCCTTAAGGGACTATAGATAAGTTGACATCCATGTAATAAGAGGCTTCATAATGAGGCTAGTTTCTGTGTTCATCCCCATGAATGAATTGTTTTATTGGTTTGTTTTATTTGATTTTTGAATGTGTTACTTAGCTGAACGTGGACTAGTCTAGATGTTGCAATGTGCTTAAATGACACTTAAGTATGAATAACTGATCAAATTGAATGCCTTGTTGCTTGATTTTAGTGTT